CTGCTAATTTCTGAAAAGCTCAAACAAACCTCGTCAATTCAGGGAGGAGGCAGATTGGAATTGGATCATGGCTGGATGGATGAACGGACGGTGCCCCATAAAATCACCTGCAAATCACCCGGTACACATGTTGACATCCTGCATCCAGATATGATATCATAGATCATCGTCGGCACCATCATTCCTCTGAAAGATTTCGCACGGCATTTCAACCTCCAACTCCCAACGTACCCAAAAAATGTAACTAGGCCAGGTGAGCTGCTGCTAGCCTATAGTAGACGTTACTGGAACAGTGGTAGTACCTGTTAGCAGCTGTTAGTAGTAGTAGTAGTAGTAGTAAAACTCTGGGTTACTGTCAGCTCATCTCACCTCGTAGATGCCGGAAGAAATCTACTCCCTCCAAAAAAAAAAAAAAGAATATAGGACTGGATGTGATATATTTTAGTACAATGAATCTGGACAGAGATATGTCCAGATTTGTAGTACTAGGATGTGTCACATACAGTATTAGATTTGTTTTTTATGGGACGGAGGAAGTAGGCTTTAGTTTCCGCCGTAGTTGTGTTTCATCCATGTATAAATACCTGCACAAGACAGCCAATACCTTCCACCGCCATATGGCCGTGCGTGCCACACGTATATTGTCGTGCTCTAAGCATTGTGATTGGAGCGGAACTAGAATGAAATGGAGGGGTATCACTTTCTTACTTTACTTTTACTTTGGATTGAGTTAAGTTGACACGGATGTCTATGATTGTATTAAGGGGGTGCATATTTTGATTGCACCTAGACTCAAAAGCCAAATTTTTTCGGGGATTGCTGCCATTTTGTGGGCTTTATGGCTTTGTAGGAATGACGTAGTCTTTAATGACGTAGTCTTTAATAGCTATAATCCAATGTTTTTTATGCAGGTAATTTTCCGGAGGACTCAATGGATAAGACTTTAGTCCTTACTTCTTACTGAGGAAGAAGGGAATGGTGTTCGTGACCATTGCAGGATTTTGGAGATGAGAGTGAGGGAGTTTTATGCTACTTATGGCTAGAATTTTAGAAGGAGAATTAAAAGTTAAACTTGTGTTCTCCTTTTCTTTTTGCTTCAGCATTGGATGCTGAATTTCCTGTGTATTTGATTGAGTATTATGTATTCTTGGATCTTTTGTTGGCTGTGTACACCTCCTAAAAGGTGTAGAGGCTGGGTTAATTTATAATCCTTTATTAAAAAAATTAGGGGGATGCACATATGGTAATAATATGTGAACTATAGCTAAATAATTTTCTTAACGGGGTTTGGAATTTACCCTGTGAACTCACCCGGTCACCGTGTTTGGAATTTACATGTGTTTCTGGATTTAGTGGCCCCTAATGAACGGTTACAGTTCATTTTCGGATTTTTAATTTTCTGAATTTCTATAAAGCTAATGTCCACTAAACATCTAAAGCTCAACATCCAAGCATAATATTTATTAGCACCCTTAAAATCTATATGCAAACATGCCATATCAACCCATTAAACATCCAAAGCTTAACATGCAAGCATATAGTAATTATATCTACAATTTATTTCATTCAAACTAAACATACACATGCTAAATCATCATTCTCAAATCATTTTCATAATATTTCAAACCAAATTATTTTATTATTTCTCCAACATCTAACATATATCATGTAGCAAAGCGCGGAGTGTCATCTAATAATAGAAATGAATATAACCACTACATCAAGATGCATACTGCCGACCACCAGTTACTACAGAAATGCAACATAAATTTACAAAGTGGGAAATATGATTCCGTTTGTTTCAAAATATAGCTACTAGCATACTAACTTTAAATTGTCTCAAAATATAATTTTACCTTACTCCTTAATCCCCATTAAAAATTCCAAAAGTACTTGTATTTTAGAATGAGGAAGTAATACAGTAAGCTATATAAGGTTGTAGCATGATAATTGAGGAATTGAGAAAGAAGGGAGAGAAAAACACATTACATTGGAACTTCCAAAGGAATTTGAAAATATGATGTTAACTCTCATGAATGTTAAAATTCCTCCAACATGTGTTTCGTGGATTTTTAACAGAAATTTAGTGAGATCAAGGATATGTTGGTTTTCGTCTCTTAAAATATGTGTTAGGGGGCGTATTCGTCGGGTGTGATTGTGGTGTCGCATGTGTTGTGTAGTGGTTTGTACGCATATGTCTCTAGGTACCTCAAAGTATAAAAAAAAGTGTAAAATTTTGACACCCACATATACTTAGACTAAATTATTTTATTATCTGAAACAACGATGGTCAAATGACGCTACTACATCATTATAGTATTGTTTTATCACGCTAGCTCAGCTGGCTTGGATAAATGATTTAGATCTTGAAAATAAATCTTAGGAAGGTTTATTTTTATTCTTTTTAAAAAAATGATTGAAGAGAGAGATGTAGCCTGTGCGGTCACGTGACGAGGAGTTTGAACTGGCCAGCCAAGACGCAGACAGGCAGACAAGGGGGAGATCGCGTGACGTTGGCCAAGTTGCTTTGACAATCTGCAGTGCTCAGAGATGACGTCGCCCATTTAATCGCCCCTGCCCGCAAACGGCAAAGGCAAACGCACGAGAAAACGGAAGCAAAACGCACAGGCGGTGGCCGGTCACTGCGGAGTACTCCCTCCGTTCTAATAAAAAACTAATCTAGTATTAGATGGAACGTTTCATAGTACAATGAATCTGGATATAAGTATGTCCAGATATATTGTACTAGGAAACGTCTAATTTAATACTAGGTTGAGTTTTTTTAGGGACAAAGTATGTTTAGATATGTTGTAGTAGGAAACATCTAATTCAATATTAGATTAAGTTTTTTTTTTAGGGACTGAAGGTGTACGAGGCTACTTGCAGCAGCGCCACCGCAAAACACACGAGAAAATGGAGCGAACAAAACGGCGGCGGCAGCAGCAGCAGCAGCGCAGCCACAGTACTGCAGGTGCAGAGCGGTTTTTAAAGCATTCGGTTAACAGTGGCAGTTGTTGACAGAATTCAAATCGATGCACATCGATCGTACCCGAAATTCAGATGTCCCGAAATTCAGATGCTGATCGAGATGATGGGAGCCGTGTGGTGAGGAGACGTGCAGCAGAGCAGATGGAGCAGAGCACGGTAAATACTCTATATGTCCTAGGGAACGTGGACATACTTATCTTTATATTAGAAGGGGAGGCTGAGTTATTTTGGGATGGAGGGAGTAATCTCGTAGGGCACGATTAGCCCGGGGGCTATCTCAGGTGTTACGGGAGGTTCGTTAGTCTCTCTAAGTACTCTCTCAGTTTAAAAAAATTCTAAGATATAATTTAATACAACGAATTTGGATATTAATATATACTAAATAATGTCTCATCCTATACTAGATTGGATATATACTAAATGACGGAGAGAGTATGTCGGTATAAATATTTACTGCTCTTAACGAATATTTTTTATTTCTCTCCCTCTCTTCTATGGCTACTTTCTCCTCAACTATTTTCAGTGGCGGAGCCAACGATACTGTCGAGTCTTGTCGGGCAATCAGTAGCTTTTTTCGATGGTTAATCATTTTTTTAAAGATGTCGATGGCTACCAAGTGCTGGCTTTGTCGCCGACCATTTTCATAGTGCCGCCATCAACTCACAATCCATCACTAATTTCTGTTTTTTTCCCAACTGAGGACTTGTTTGGCAAAGCTCTAGCTTCACATTTTTGGGTTTTATCCAACCAAACGGTTTCAGTTTTACCCAAAAGGTAAGCGAAGCGGGCTAAAATGAACTGGAGAGGTGTAGCGTGGTTCAAGCTGCTCTATAACTACCCTATAAACCTACTTCCTCTATTCTAAAATAAGTCCAATCCTAGAGATAAAGCACTGAGGGAGTAGCTTTGAAGTTATATTTAGGATTTGGAGACCTGCCAAACATGCCATAAATTGCCTCGCATGTTGTGCCCTTGATCGACCCTGCATTCTTCATGAAGTGTCCGTTCTTGTCTAATTTTCTCCCCTCCACACCGGCAATACACTACTAAAAACGATTTTTGTGGATATCCCCTATTTTATTGTAAGCGGGCTAAAAGAATGTCTGTTTGTAGAAATATTTGGGTGATGTTCATTATAGACCCGCCTGTGAAAATTTATTTTGCAAGCGGATCTCGTAATAGGTCATAAGAGGTCCACTCGCGACGCTGGCCACTCATCATCCTTATCTACTCACACTACACTCGTTTACTCCCTCTCCTTCTATCAACGGGAGATACCCGTAGACCGGATAGTATGGGTATTGGGGTACGTTGGTACGAGGATCTACACAGTTCGATATTAAGCAAACAAAGAGACAATGATTATACTGGTTTAGACCCCTCGTCCTTACGATTTAATAGCCCTAATCCAATTTATATGAGATTGATATGGAAATCCACAGAGTACAATTGAGAGCAACTGATTCCGAGATTACTAGCAAGATCCCTATCGAGATGGTCTCGACAAGATCTTCCGACGAGTAGGCTTCAAGTCCTCCGGATTGCTTCTATGGTGGCGAGTTGGCTAGTGCTATGATTTGATGCATTGGACCCCTCAGAGGGCGTGTTATTTATACCGTAATCTCCAAGTAGAACTCGAAGACTATGGACCCTAAACGATATAGTCTAATCCTAACCTTCTCCGAGTAGAACTCTGTTACGTATTTGCCCATGAGGTGTATTTCCATAATCTCTTGTTGATTTCCTTATTGTATACGGAAATCTATCGTACACACGAAGGTATGACATATCCGTATATTTCATAAATCGTAAGATAAAATATATGCCTTATCCGTAACTATGACAGTGGGGTGACCATCTCTCTTCTTTTCTCGAAATTCGAACCGTCAGATAGTGCGCCTATAAAACCTGGTTTTGGGATTCATTTTGGGTCCGTTTGCCCAAAACACTTTTGTCTTCCCTGCGCACACACCTCCAGTTCTTTTCGCCATCAACAAACACTAATAATTCTCTCCTTAGCACAACACTGGTCTACATCGATCAATAGCTTTATAGTTATCCTTCCCTCTCATAAGCTCAAACAAACGCTGGTCAAGTGCTCTTCAAGATCGGCGCATCGATCATATCTATCGCCATGGACATGGACATGAGCTCGGCTTATCCTCACCATTGGCTCTCCTTCTCCCTCTCTAACAACTACCACCATGGCCTCCTTGAGGCCCTCTCTACCACATCTGCACCTCCACTTGGTAATATATGAGCATCTCAAATAATGCACTATTCATAATCTTTCATGTGCATGCATGTTTGCTAAACTAATGCCATGTGGATTAGTAGGACATGCATCTGTGTTCATCATCACTAAGTATCATTATTTTTCTGTGTTTTCTGGTGTAGGAGAGGAGGGGCCAGCGGAGGGCGCTCCGAAGATGGAGGATTTCCTCGGCGGCCTAGGCGGAGGCGGCGGCGCCGTCGCCGCCGCTCCGGCAGCTGCCCCGGAGGATCAGCTCAGCTGCGGCGAGCTTGGTAGCATCGCCGCCGGGTTCTTGCGCCGGTACCCAGCGCCTGAGAACGCCGGCGGGGTGACCATCGCAATGGCGACCGACGCGGCGGCGGAGCTGGCCGATCCGGCGAGGAGGACCGCCGAGACGTTCGGGCAACGGACGTCCATCTACCGTGGTGTCACTAGGTATATATATTTTGCGATAACACATGGATCCATAGAGATGATCTATCTATCTAATCTAGCTACTCGATCCCAGCTCTCACAGCGCCCAAATAGCTAGGTGCATGCATGCATGTAGTTAGTTATACTACTAGCAGTACACTAACGACACTAGTAGTCGTTCATGGTTAAAATGTCATTTTAACTTATAGCTAAAAATAATCATGCAAGCATGACAATGAGCTGAAAAATAATATAATCAACAAGTTTTTGATAAGGGATGTTGGGTATTGGGAAAATGCATCAGGCACCGGTGGACGGGGAGGTACGAGGCGCACCTGTGGGACAATAGCTGCCGCCGGGAAGGCCAAAGCCGCAAAGGCCGCCAAGGTTTGTGCATGCATGTCATAACCCATATCCAACAAATTAATCTGCAAATTTTAGCATATGGACGTTACATTGTTGATCACTAATTAATCTGCTTTTCTTTTGCTTCCCTGACATAGTCCTGTAGCAGAGAAACTCATGTATCACCAGTGTTTCTAATTCAAGCTCATTTTTTTAACTAGTTCCATTGTCAGCTACTCCATTTGTTTCATATTATAAGTCATTTTGATGTTTTTTTTAGTTAAATTTCTTTAAATTTGACCGAGTTCATAGAAAAATATAGCAACATTGTCAACCCAAACAAATATATTATCAAAATATATTCAATATTACATTTAGCGAAACTAAATTGGTTATGTAGATATTGTTAATTTTTTCTATAAACTTAATCAAATCTAAAAAAAATTTGACTAGAAAAAAAATCAACACGACTTATAATATGAAACAGAGGGAGTACTACATATGTGTCAACAGCCTCCGCAAGAACTCCACGACTCCTGCAGCACATGATCCAGATAGCCGCGATGAGGTGCTCGGCGTGGTGCCCGAGATCCAGGAGTGGCACGGCGCGCCTCCGCCTCCAGATGGTTGACGTTGACCGCCACTCGGCACTTGCCGCCTCCGTCGCCTCTCCACCCACGGCTCCGCCCCCCCTCCTCGCATCCTCACTCACCTCGCCGCCGCTGGGGTCCACGCCGGTGAGCTCGCAAGAGCTCGGGGACCGCTTCCACGTCGGCATCGGCGTCCAACGGCCGGACGATGACGATGGTGGGCGTTCGTCAGCCACCGGCCGCGCCGTGCGCCTCCAGTCTCCCCCAACCGCTGTCCGTCTTCACCCCGGACATCCGACCCCGGCACGGCAGCCTGCTCCCGCGTCGCAGCCGCCGCCGCCACCGCCTCGTCACCCACCGCCATGTCGCCAGCCGCCAAACCTCCTCCTCTCTCGCCGACCCCCCTTGTCCCCGCGACCTCCTCCCCAGTCTCCACCCTTTGGTCGGCCAGCAGAGAGGATAAAAGTGAGAGAGAGAAAGGAGGAAGGGGGAGAGAGGGTGATGACGTGGCATACTGACATATGGGGCCTACGCTGACTTAGTCGCCACGTCGGATAAAACTGGGGTCAAAACCACCGAAGGACCTGAAGTGAATGGTTTTGTAAGTTGAGGGATGCCATATATTCGATTTTATGGTTGGGGGACAATTTTGTAACTCGATGATAAGTTGAGGGACCTTCGGTGTACTTTTTCCTATTTACATTGATTTTGATTGACAGGATCGTGACAAGGAATAAGTTCATCTGAGGTCCCTTAACTTGTCAACGAATCCGATTTTTGTCCTTCAACCGGAAAACCAGATACAAGAGGTCCCTCAACTATCAAAACTGGTGCACTCAAGGTCCCACAGCGGTTTAGATGGCAGTTTTGGCTGACGTGGCGCCTACGTGTTTAGTTTGACTTGGTCTTTATCTGACATGGCGCTTACGTGGCAATTCGATCCAAAAATAATAATAATACCCATGGGACCCACATGTCAATTTCACACACAAAATAATAAAAAATGGTGGGACCCACCCAGACCCCACATGTCATCCTCAATCCCCTTCTTTTCTCTCTATCCCCTCTCTCTCCCCCTGCACTGATAGGTTGTTCCCAGCGGCGATGGGGAGCAGCGGCACGGGAAGGGGTCGCTGCCTCGCCGGAGTAGCGGCGACGACGCCCGGCGAGGGAGCCGCGGCAACGAGGAGGCACAGCGGCGGGGAGGCAACCATGCTGCATGGCGCTAGCGCCGCTCTCCTCCTCCTCCTCGGCGGCCCCGGGGCCGGGAGCTCCCGCGGGGCCCTCGCTGACGGTGGCCGCGGCCGGGGAGATGGCGGCGGCGGCGGCGGATGGCTCCTTCGATGACTCCATGGAAGGGCTCATCGCTTCCTCCGCCTCGGCGTCGGGGCCTCCTCCTCCTCCTCCAGCTCCTCGCTCATGCTGGGTGCAGACGCCGGTGACGTGGCGGTCTGAGTCTTCATCTTCTTCTTCTTCCTCCACAGGGGCGGTGGCTGCCAGCTGCACCTCCTCCGCCTTGCCAACCGCCTTCTGCCATAGCCGCCACCTCCTCCACCGCCGAGGAATGCCGCGGCTCCCTCCTCGATCGCCGGCCACCTCCCGCCGCTCCTCCCTTTCTTGCCGGGTGCCGTCGGTTGTCGCCAACAGCTTAAGTGTGTCAACAAGAAGTAACAACAAGAAGAAGGCATACAGAACAAGCCGCGCACAATTTTCCTGGATTACCCGGGAGCCGTTGTCGTTTGAGTGGTTCAATGGAGTGATGAATGAGGTTGCTGAAATGGACAAGGATAGGCCAGCAGTATATTGACGGTGTTGGTGATCAATTCGTTATGCAATTTCGACCAGGGTGTGTCATAGAGCTGCACAAGGATGCGCCGCCGAACACCACATCGCACTTCGCCCATCCGTTGGTCTCCGACGAGAAGACGTCCAAGGTGATGCCGATTCCCGCCGCCGCCCCGCTGGCTTCGCGCGCCGCCGCTTCGGCCGCCGTCGCCCCACTCCGCCCGTCGCCCCGTAGGGAAGAAGAGAGAGAGGATAGTGGGAAGACGGAAGGAGAGGATGGCATATGGGGCCCATGTAGGTCCCACCATTTTTTTATTATTTTGTGTGTGAAACTGACATGCGGGTCTTACGGGTTTTATTATTTTTTCAGATCGAATTGCAACGTAAGCGCCACGTCAATGCCACGTCAGATGTAGACCGAGTCAAACTAGCCACGTAGGCGCAACGTCAGCCAAAACCGCCATCTAAACCACCGAGGGACCTTCAGTGCACCGGTTTTGATAGTTGAGGGACCTCTTGTATCTGGTTTTCCCGTTGAAGGACGAAAATCGGATTTGTTGACAAGTTAAGGGATCTCAGATGAACTTATTCCTCGTGACAAACGTGCGGCCCATATACTGGGCCGGAACGGTACAGTGGCCTACAGGCCACAATGTTGGGCCGGAGCGGTATATAGTGCTTATTCGCAAACTGAGGCAGCACCTAAAATCGGAAAAAGTACACCGTAGGTCCCTCAACTTGTCATCGAGTTACAAAATCATCCCCAACCGTAAAACCAGATATCCAGGTGTCCTAACTAATCAAAACCGGTCATAATAGATCTTTCGGTGGTTTTGAACCCGGTTTTATGCCACGTGGTGGCTAAATCAGTGTGGGACCTACGTGAGCCCCACATGTCAGGATGCCACATCAGCGCACACACTCTTTCCTCTCCTCTCCCTTCCTCTGTCATTTTTTCCCCTGGGCGTCGTGGATGGCGCCATGGCGGCACCTTCGTCGATGCAGCGGGGAGCAGGTCAGGAGGCCCGCCATGGCCGGTGGCTGGCGGGGGATAGTCGCGGCGGTCGTCTGCCTTCCCTCCTCCTCCTTCGCGTGCTGTGCGGCGCCATTGCCGTGGTCGAGAGAGCGGAGCGGGGGCGGTGACGGCGGGCCGAGAGGAGCGGGGGCGGCGGTCGAGCGGAGCGGCTGGCGACGGGCGACGCGGCAGCGGTGACGCTGGAGAAGGGAGGAGGCCGGCGGGTCGGGAGGAGGTCGGCGGGGCGAGGAGGGAGAGAAGAAGGTCGGGCGGCTGGCTCGCCCGCCGCCGCTCCACTCCGCTGGGGTGACCGGCGACGTGGCCCCCGCCGCGGCGGCTATCTCCTCATCGTCGCCATCGTCGTCGGGCTGGACGAGGCTGTAAAGCTCGGCGATGCGGTCTTACTTACCTCCTCTTCCTCCTCCAGCTGCGCCGGTGCCGCCGCGGATGCTGTCGCCGCTCCGCTCCACTCCCCTGGCCGCTCGCTCGCCGCCGCTCCGCTCCGCTGGCCGTACGCTTGCCTGCCGCCGCCGCTCTGCTCCGCCGTCCGCCCGCTCGCTGCAACGTTCGCCCGCCTTCCGCGACTCCTTCCGCAGCGCCTCCATGCTCAACATGCTCAGCTCGGCATCTCCGCGGGCGTCGCCGTTGCCGCCTACGGTGAGGCGCGGTTCGACGCGTTCGGCGTCATGCTGCAGCTCGTCGCCGTCGCCGCCGAGGCCACACGGCTCGTGCTCATCCAGATACTGATCACCTCCAAGGGCATGTCAGTGAACCCCATCACCTCGCTCTCACATCGCGCCGTGCTGCCTCGTGTTCTTGACGCCGCCATGGTACTTCGCCGCGCGCTCGTTATTTTTGACTGCAGCGTGTTGTGCGAAATACCACGACTTTAGAATTGTAACTACGTGCTGCACATACATGGTATAGAACTGTCTTTACGTGATGAATTTGGCCAGGTGATGAAGTATCTGGAGAAGAAAACGATTGTGTGGACTGAAGAGTAATCCAACCCTGGGACCATCCTCATCCCAATTAAATCAGAAGCAGGACCAGCAGGATTAGGTTCATGTACAAAGGTGGTGGCTCTCAATGACACAAACTGACAGAAGCCGGCCGCCGCCGCTCCGCTCCGCTGCCCGCTCGCCCGCTGCGCGCTCGCGGCTGCTTGCTAGCCCGCCGTTGCCGCTCTGCTCGCTAGCCGGCAGCTGCCGCTCCGCTCCCCTCCGTCGACCGCCGCGTGCTCACCCGCCTCCGCGGCCGGCCGCGGACGACGTCGTCGCCGCCGTCACCGCCGCCGCGTCGCCCGTCGCCGACCGCCAACACACTCTTCTCCCGCCGGCCTTCTCCCCAGTCCCAACCCGCTGACCAGCCTGCGCAGAGAGTTGTGAGAGAGAGAGGACAGAGGAGGAAGGGTGAGAAGAGGGGAAAGAGAGGGGTGACGTGGACACCCAGACATGTGGGGCCCACGTGGGTCTCAAGCTGACTCAGCAGCCACATCGGATAAAACCGGATCAAAACCACCTAAAGACCTAAAGTAAACGGTTTTGTAAGTTGAGGGATGTTATATATCTGGTTTTGCGGTTAGATGACGATTCTGTAACTCGATGACAAGTTGAGGGACCTTGAATGCACTTTTTCCCCTAAAATCTGATGATACAAAGCACACATGAATGTCCAGAAATCCACGGATTTGAATTAGGCATTATACATCAGTAACAATCATGTTTAAGATGTGACCAGACACTTTACCTTATTGGTACATGGGTTTAAAAATTCTGAATCATAGGTTTTTATGTCATCACCAGCTGAAGGTTTGTTAGGTATGCCTATTTTTTCATCGACACTCCCAACAATTAAAATAATATTAGAATATGTTAAATTGTTGGTCCCTAAAACGGGAACATCTGAAAATTTCTTGTCACCTCCTGAAAAGCAACCAAATGAATTATGATTCTTGGCGATGAGGTTTTCACATGAATTTGAATCTGGGTAAGAAAAGTATGCATGAAAATGCGAATCTCAAACAAATTGTATAAAGGGACACAAATCCCCCCTCCCAAAGAAGCGTTGAAGTAATTTTGTAATTCCTACCTGAATGATTTCGAATAACATCGACTTGCTTAAAATTTGAAATTTCTAATGGATTTCCATTAATTTTTGGCCTGACTCTTCCGGAGTCCTCGGGGGTATCCGTTGCAACAGAGTAACTTCGTTTGAGTACTTGCAGTTAAATGTGCAGAGAGAAATTCTGTCACTGCAGAGTATAATACAAAGGAGAAACAAAGAAAATCAGTAAATTAGATTGTTGTCAAGATTCAAAAGAGAACTATAGACCTACACTTGTTTCCATATAATTGCAAGCAAAGATACAAGAGTCAACGCACTCATTAACTCGTATTGCAAGCAAAGAAGCGGCGGAAGAGAACCAAAGGCCTCACCTCCACGAACATCTTGCAAAAATGCGTGAAGACACCGAGAGTCATCACGGCGTTGGGGTGAGGTGCAGCATATGGAGCCCATAGATCTCTAGGATGTTGAGGAAAAAGTCGGAGAAGGGCAGCACCAGGCCCTTGGCGGCATAGGCAATGGGATACACTACCTCCCTAGCTTGCGGCCTGGTGTGGGACTCCTCGATCCGTACCATGAGCGTCGGGCGACCGGCGCGTGAGGTTGACATCAAAGCCCGAGCGAACCCTAAGGCATCGGCGGTTGTGCTTACCGAGGGAGGCAAAACACTCCCCTGCAGCGCCCGTGCGTCGCGGTTTTCCTGCGGCATGATGTCAAGCAAAAGGAGAGAAAGAAGGCGGCGGGGAAAGTTGAAACGGAGTTGGTGAAGACGGCGACAGCGAGATTTGATCAAGGGCAAGAGTGCTAGGGTGTTGAAAGATCGAATGAAGGCGAAAGATGGTTTTTAAAGAAAAAACCCCGAGTAGCCATTTCGGTCTCCACGCCCACGACGCCTAGAAAAACGGGTTGGTAGTGGGAAATTAAGGCGGAGTGTGAGCGTGGCTAAACTCCCACAACAGACCTGAAGAATGATGAGACACGCAACGTGACAAAGCGTTGTCCCGTCCGTTGAATCCTAACAAGGTGGGCCTGGGGGCTTGACTTCGGTTTTCTTTCAAAGAGAAGCCCCATGCCCGGCCTCGATTCTTTCTCCAGCCCGGCCCGGGGCTGGGGGCTACTGTCGGTGAAATGGAAACTAGGGTACCTATTTCCCCGGCAAAACAATTACAAGTAAAATATGCTTAAACCATCCTTAAAAATAAAAAGCTACCCCCAGGGTGATGTGATTAGGGGCCCACCTTTATTTGTTTGCAGGTCGCTCCTCTTGGTTAAAGAGGAACAATTTATAATTAAGATACAATGGCTCAAAACTCTGAGTGATAAGGTGGTTCAGGGCTTACATCCGTCTTAAGTCCCAGGACCACCAATATATCTATATCTTAAGAATGTAGCCTAAGGTCTGCCTCGGACCCGATCTTCTCCTAGGTCACGAACTCACCTTAGTCCTTGTAAGTCCTATGCTACTTAGTGAGAGAAGCGTAGAGACATACATTATCTACATCTTAAGAGAAATAGACTAAGGTCTGCCTCAGACACGCCCTTGTTTTGGGTCTCGGGCTCATCTTAGTTTATCTAAGTCACACACTACTCTGTGAAGAGGAGTGTTGAGACCTATAAATCAGGATGGGAATGGTTGGAATGGTTAGGATATGTATCGAACCTAAACCGTTTCAAATGTGTTTATTGAACCATGGTTTAATAGGGTCAATCTATCATGAGTCCATTATATCAATAGGTTATCCATGGATATCCAAATGGATCATCTACGCTTCTAATAGATAAAAAAAAGCTCTTATTGCATGCATGTAAAACTCGGGCCCAAAATTTTTAAACTCGCGTTCACATTATAAAAACTTATCAAATTTAGTTGAATTTTATAGAGATGATTTATTATATGGAGAAGCAACTTTGTTCAAATTTTAAAGTCATTTAGACATGCGGGGCCCATGATGCATTACTAAGATTCAAAAATTCTAGTTACATGTGTGTAAAACTCGGACCCAAAATTTTTAAACTCGTGTTCACACTATAAAAACTTGTTAAATTTAGTTGAATTTTATAGGAATGATTTATTATATAGAGAAGCAACTTTGTACACAATTTTGAAATATTTATACATGTGAAGTCATTTTGGGTCGAACCTCTTAAACCTTAGGTTCTAATGGTTTGAGCCGTTTGGTCCATTTATATTTTTTGGAGCGACCCTAAAATCTGTTAGGACAAATTTACGGATAGGTTTAGTGGATAAATGGATCGACCCTATCCATTTCCATCCTGACCTTAGGTTTAGTGGATAAAATCTATATCTTAAGAATGTAGCCTAAGGTATGCCTCGGACCCGGTCTTGTTCTGGGTCCCGGGCTCACCTTAGTCCTTATAGGTCCTACGATACTCAGCGAGAGGAGCGTAAAGACATATAAGATCTACATCTTAAGAGAAGTAGGCTAAGGTATGCCTTAGACTCGGCATTGTCCTGGGTCTTGGGCTCACCTTAGTCCATCTAAGTCACACACTGCTCTGTGAAGAGGAGTGTCGAGACATATAAAATTTGTATATTAAGAATGTAGCCTAAGGTCTGCCTCGGACTTGGTCTTATTCTGGGTCCCGGGCTCACCTTGGACCTTGTAAGTCCTACACTAGTGAGAGAAGCATAGAGACATACAAGATCTACATCTTAAGAGAAGTAGGTTAAAGTCTGCCTCAGACCCGGCCTTGTCCTGGGTCTCAGGCTCACCTTAGGGCACGACTTCAGGACCGGCCAGGGAAACGGGCATGCGCCACGGGCTGTTGTGAAGCAGTCCTCTCCTCCATAAATGAAACAGGTTTATGGGGAGCCCCAGCAAGTCTGGAGCTGAAAGGACGTGGACAAGACACTAGCACTGAGTTATTAGCACTGGTGGCACTTTGGACGCGTGTCGTGCATGCCCTGCGCCACCTGATTAGGCCAAACGGGCAGAAGCAGAACCGTGGCGCTGTTTCAGGCAGTCTGGGTTCCACCAGGCCCACCACTCGCCATGTGGTGGGCTAGCTGGCACAACCCAGCTGTCTCGGACAGAAGCTCGGGTGCCCAGGGTAACACAGGTTTTGAATCTCAGTAGGTTACTCAAAAGACTGTGTAAGGGAACCATCCGGCATTGATAAGACGACTGATAAGACAAGGCAAGAAAGTAGATTAATGGCACTGTGAGCCCCTCCTTAGTTTATAAAAGTAAGGGGACAAGCTAGATGAAGGGTTGGATTTTTTTACCAGAACTTCTTGTTTGTAGCATGAAAAGGCATCCCTTGTTCTTAGCTGATTTGAGAAAAACAACAAAACCAACACAAGAGTAGGGTATTACACCCCCGGGTGGTCTGAACCTATATAAACTCTAGTTTATCTTGCTCTACGGGGAGGTCAGGCCCCGCAAACCTTCTCTTTTTTTTAGCTTTTTCCGTCATCTTTCACTACTAACCCCTTGGTCGAATCTTTGAACCAGGGAAGGGGTCTCCACTTCCCGCTGTCCGAGGAATCGCCCCCTCGACACATACCCTTGTTTTTTTTTAAAAAAATTTTCTTATAAGAATATCATCCTGCCCATATCCACTAAACTCCAGGAACACTCAACATGGCTTTGTTAATACATGCAGTCTGAGATATCTAAGAAGTGCAATCAGCTAGGAGTACTACCTTGGCACAAGACTTCCCAAGTGCAAACAATTGCTAGCAGTGTGCTAATGCTGTAGATTGCCCTGAAAAGATATGTGCGTGAGAGAAAAATCAACACATTTTTCCCCATTGAATCATGTAAATCAAATTAGATTTTTAACACCGTGACTTCATTAGTAATAAACCAATTGCAGAAACACGATTTTTTCATATTTCTCCACATAGGTAAGTATGTACTCTCTCCGTTTTAGCAAATGTTACTGTAGCACCATATTGTAGCACCATATTGTCAAATCATAAAACAATTAGGTTTAAAAGATTCGTCTCGTAAATTAGTCGCAATTTGTGTAATTAGTTATTTTTTAGTCTATATTTAATACTTATTACATGTGTTCAAACGTTTGATGTGAGAGGGTGTAAAGTTTTGAGATGAGATATAAACAGGGCCTAAATTCAATGTCGTAGGCTGCAGCTGCACAGCACCGCCATTCGATTGCAATTGATTTTGGACTTTTGCGGTGTAAAATACTCCTGCTACAGAAAGCCCCAGTTACCGCTGCACAGCACAGTTGGCCTCCCGGGTGCGTTCGCCTTCCATAGTTGGATTGCGTCAAATCTCGATACACTTTCGACGAGCCATTACGAATTTCGTCAACACGCCTCTTAAGTCACATAACCCTTCGCTTACGAACAGACTAAAAAAAATCCTTCGGCGCGAAGCCTTCTCTCACTCCTCCCAACCTCCACACGCCGCGGGCGCGCGCGCGGCGCGGAGCTCGTCTCGCCTCCGGTCTCGAGGATCTCCGCCGGCGAATCACCCCCGATTCCAGCAAGGTGCGCACGAATCCCTTCCCCCCGCATCCCTATCTCAAGGCAACCACCGATCGGATTCGCTGAATCGAGCGGAAATAGCGGGCAAATGGGCTTGGGTTTGTTCGCGAGAATTTTTGATGACCTATTCGCGAATCAAACGTTACTCCGCAGCAATGGGTAAGCGAGGGGCGAGGTTTGTAGATTGGAATCGCAAATTCCCGTGGATCGCGCGTCTGTGATGTGGTTTAGGGTTTATGTGGGCGGTTGTTTGCGATACTGAGTTCTGATCATGAAAGGCTCTCAACCGGCCAAAAAGGTTGTTTCAGTTGGAATTGATTTGGTTGGCCCGGATCGAAATTATAGCTTAGATTCTTTTCCAGGATGATGGATGCAAAATGGCTACTGCTGTGCAGCATGCGTGATTTTTTAGTATGAATTTTTCAAATTGGGGGCATTTTTGGGTTGGGATTATCACTAACTTTGGCGATCTGTACTGCTTGCACATCCCCAACTTAGTAATCAGTATCATCTTGTTGTATCTGTTTTCCACTACGATACTGTAATTTGGTAAAACCACCTCACAGAATAGCACAAAACATTAAGAACCATTGCATAACTGTGTCTTATGCAACTAGAGTATTACAACCGATTTTTTGTAAACTGATTCTTTGTCTGTGATATATGGGCTATGTGAACGATAAGCTAGTAGTAGTGTAGGGCGTAACCGTGTAAGACAAGCAGATTAGGAACTACTGTGATGTATTACATTTGGACTAGGATGACAAACACATGAGGATCAACGTAATCAAGCTAGTATATAAAATCAAAATATCCTGTCTGCGAAAAATATTTCCAAGTGTCCTTTATTGATCCTACTATGGTCTATGAGCGAGGATGCCTTATATCAGAAACACCATTTCTTTTGAATGGCATATGTTCTTCAGAGAATCTTTATTTTGCTTACCAAGTTTATGCTGACATTATTTTACAATATGTCAATGGTTTATTCAGCAGATATGTTCATCTATTGTCCTGATTTAGTTCTTAGATAAGATATGCCTAGGCCTAGTTATTACTCCTTGTTCTAACAGCATCTTGGATTCGACTTGCAATCTATGTTTGGAACTTCCATATAGCAGCTTTTCACTTGAGTAGGATGCAGATTATTCATCTTTGATAGTGATGCGAGCCATTTGAACTAATCATGCTGCTTCACAATTGTGCAAGGTTACCAGCAGGTTGTAGCAGTTAGATGGTGCACCTCTTAAATATTTAGAAACTGTTACCTTTATACTGGTGATCAACTTATGTTTCCATTTTTTAGGATGAAATCAATCAAGGAATCCAGCAATCAAGAGGTGAGGAAGGTGCTCACATATGGTTTTCATGACTCAAAGAGTTTCAAAACATGCCAAGCAGGTACATCTTCATTTACACTTTTGAAGATAGACCTAGTTCAACTGCAAGATATGGATATTTTCCAGCAGTTCTCAGTTCTCAGAGTCCAGATACTGTACTCAGACCATCCTTACGAATCATAACTAGCATGGTTTTCTAGGACCATGTGTGTTATTGACTACGGAAATGAAAATAGTGATGAATTTGATGTGCTTCTTGGGGTTGAAAGTACTAGATCGATGTCATGTATTCTTCACCATGTCTCTAATGAGTTCATTCTTTTATAAATCGGAGTAGGCCGAAAGCTACTGCATGAATATAGCGAAGAACATCAAATATACGGCTCTTTGATTGACTGGAATGTCTGCCTTTCTAATAGACACATAGAGGACATTTGAGCACCTACTTTTCATCAACCTTTCAGTTTTCCTTTTTTGCCTTTTCAGTGTTTCTTGTTTCCTCTTTCTTGGCATCACAGTAGCAGCACAATATTACCATGGTATAACTTGTTTAGTGTGTTTTGTTGTGCCAGGCTAACCAGAACATTGTGTTAACTGATACTCCTACTTAAGAAGACTTCTCAGAATTTTATCTAGAGTAACACAAACAAGTATAAACTTATTGCAAAAAAGTAAGTTGATAAGCCTTATCATTGTTGAAGCAGTGCCTTAACGTCAAATGTCACCAGCTGAATCATTTTCCCATACTTTTCCTTATGCATGGGTCTTGGTGATGTTTAATTTAGTTGAGATACATCTGAAATCTTTTAATTTTCAGATGTGCATAGTTTGAATTAGTTAGTAACTGTTAGTATGTCAGTCCAGAACCCCATCTGATTATTTTCTACAGTCTGTACTCTGTAGACAAACTGCCATGTATGTATATGCTTTTTAATAACTTAAACCAGGAAAATTCCTGACCTTCAAAATTGTGAAGATGCGAGCACTTAAAAACAGATGAAAATGAACGATCGCTGTATATTTTCAATTTTTATTTTAAATTGCAAGATTCAGTTCTCTTGCTAATTCTTCTCTTTCACTACATTTACCTGAAGTCACCATATCATCTTCATCACCCTAGGACATCTGGTGAGTAGCATCTTTTCTATGTGTTATTGAACATCTTATTTTGGTACTATCCAATGATAATGATTCTTTTGAAGAAAAAGGATCATGAGTTTACCACGTGTGCTTATAGAGCATCAAGCTGATTTGTCCATTTTCTAGAAGAAAATCAATTAAAGAGACTAAAAGTACATGCTATTCTTGCATGTGTGTTTAACTGTTTATTATTAAACCATCAAACCATCTGCATTTCCCATAACAGTCTCTCACTGCGTTTGGCCCAAGGAGATTGTGAGAAAGTTTGTTTCGTTTTCCGCGTGCACGTTTCCCGAACTACTAAATGGTGTATTTTTTGCAAAAAAAATCTATACGAAAGTTGCTTTAAAAAATCATATTAATCCATTTTTGAAGTTTAAAATAGTTTATACTCAATTAATCATGCGCTAATGGCTCACCTCGTTTTGCTTATCTTCTCAATCTTCTCTTTTCCTCTCCTCTCAAACTCACAACTTCATAGACTAGTTGCAGTGGAGTATTTTTTTTTCTTTGATATGAGAGCATATTGATTAATTTGCCTTACTGTACATGAGTTCGGAGTTCCTGTATGTCCTTATAAGTTATCCGGTTGGGGAACTAGGAGAGGTATCAGCCTATCAGGTTGAAATGAGCTACTTGCTAGAAATTCCTTAAAAGAACATGACTTCCAGTTTTTTTTTTAAAAAAATCTGAAAATATAGCTATAGGTGTGGTTATGTTTTACACTTTTATTTCCATGCAAAATTTTGCTAAGAAATTTAATTTCGTTTGTGGGATAAAAGGGGCAATTTATTAGTGCGACAGAAAAGGAAAACAAAAGTACACATTTGACTTTTCACATCATTACATCTCTAATTCGTCATGTTCTTTTCTCATTAACAGGGTTGAATTTGTTGGCGAAATTTGCACTGGCAACCTCACCTGTAGCTCTGATTTTTTGGAACAGAAATCTGCCATGTCTTTTTTTTGTGTTAAAACGTTTCCAACAAGTAGCCCATTTCATCTATTTGGAATAGAAATCTACATATGCACTTGAGGAAGTAAGGGTCCAAAGATAGGTTGATGGGCTCACATATTTTCGAGCTGAACTTTTTATATGAGTAGATGTGGGAAGGGAGAGGGATGTGGTGTAGGATCAAATATCTAAATCACCAACTCAAATATTTAAAGTAGTGAAGGATACATCATTTACAAAGCTTAGACCCAGAAGAGTATGGCCGTGTTTAGTTCGTGCGCCAATTTTTTTTTAAGTATATGGACACACATTTGAAGTATTAAACGTAGACTAATAACAAAACAAATTACAGATTCCACCTGTAAACTGCGAGACAAATCTATTAATCTATTAAGCCTAATTAATCCGTCATTAGCAAATGTTTACTGTAGCATCACATTGTCAAATCATGGCGTAATTAGGCTCAAAAGATTCGTCTCGCAATTTACATGCAAACTATGTAGTTGGTTTTTTTTTTGTCCACATTTAATGCTCCATGCATGTGTCCAAACATTTGATGTGACGGAATTTTTGGAAGTTTGAAGGGAACTAAACACTGCCTATATTTCACCAGATAGCACAAGACCAAACACATGACCTAGAGATTATTAACTGAAAAATAGCCTAAAGTGTACCTTTCAGTCGACTTATTTCAGAACATGTCCTTGACCACTTATACTAACCTACTATCAAAACCAATTTGCATATATCCGGAGTAAGTTATCTGTCAGAACCAGCATTCCAGCAAACAACTATCTTGACTCAGGCCTGGTCATCGAGCCACCTGTATATATGTTTCCTAAGGAGCCAAACCTAGTAGTTGACTCTTCATTGAAAAGTTTTTATCAGACAAAATCACATATTTTCATATCATCTGGAAAGCGAGTCCAAGTCTTGACAAGTCAGTAAAATATATTCTGTTGAGTTGAGTAATGATTATTACAATCTGACAAATTAAACTCAGGCTTTACAATTTTAATTCCATATCTTGACAATTATATGCCAATATTACTTTTTGTATTTAAATAGCAAGGTTTGGTTCAAAAAGACCGTTAGATGCATTATCTTTTTTGACTGAAACCATTGCAGGGGGGGTCCCGCAATTAATATAGACTTATGTACAAACAGAAAACAAAAGAGAAGCAAAAATTACAAGCTAAAAGTTCTCTCTCTGGGCTTTTAAGTCTATTCAGGATTACCTGGTCAAGGTGTAACCCTTTGTTAAAGAATGTTTGTATTTACCTACTGCCATATGTGGTCATAGTGCTGTTGTCATAGAGCTATGTTCTGCAAACACTAAATCAATTATGTGGGAACATACCTTTGGAAAATGGACAGTCTGGGAACCAATTATGGACAATACAGCATTGTGCACTCAAAAAAATAGTTGACTTCAGATCCACCATTAGTGCTATTGGGACCTACATCCAGCACTGTGTGATGCATGTAGTTGCACGCTACAACAGTAATGAAATCTTTAAACAGCTTTTTAGCAAAATATCCTAAAAACTGTTAAATTTAGCTGAAAGTGCTTCTCTTTTCTAATGAAATGGCATGCAATGCTCTCGCCCATTCTCAGTAAGAAATAATTAGTTTGCCCTGTGACCGTTTCAAATTCAATAGGTTTATGGAGCACTGCACAGTCAATTAACAAAAAATCAAGCACAAGCGTCTGAGATTCTTCTAGCAAATCTGACTATAGATTAATAGCTGGTTAATCTAATGTATAATCTTTGTCTTGCATGAGGCACGCGCTAGTACATTATTGAGACCCATGAACAAAATGCGCACATGTTTCACTTACATCCTGGTCCTAGTGCGGAAAGGTAACACTAGAATGTCGTTGAATCTTATTATAAGATGTCATTTGGTTTGGAACTTTTCAGTTCACTTATTTTGAATCTTTGACTCTGTTCATCCTGGGAAGTTTGGATTACTGTCTTGTTTACTTATTTATGTGTAGTTTCTACTAATTTTGAATTTAATTTTCCAGTGTTGTTTCCTTCTTCTTATACAATTACTCAACGAGTATCTATTCAAACGCATGAATACATTTGCATGATTTATGCTTGCATTTAGCATGCTCATGTAAATTTGATCCAAGAAAATAGATATAAGGTTATAAGATGAAAGAAGAAGTCACGGAAACATGGCATATTGACACCATTTTAATCTCCTAATTATAGTTTGATTCATCAGTGCCTTTTTGGGGTACAGCTTGTATGATGGTTGGAGAGCCACTCAATTGAAATTCCAGTGCCGACAGAACTTACAAATTACAAATGTGAAACATGACAAAAGGGGCAACCAACAAACAACTCTTTCTAAAACCAAGGGAAAGGCTCCGCACATACAACCAAAGGAAGGACCTTTTTACAGTGCTGTATTTGACTAGTGACCCACTTTGCCAATCATCTTTTTCTAAGCTAAAAGGGTTCACCTGCCTTAATTTATGGAATGTTGGAACGCAAAAGCAGTAATGAGAGAATCTGAATGGTCTGAATCAGTTTACGTCGAAAAAAGACATCCTAAAGTATATTTAGCAGATAGCTGTTTTAGTTTTGTCTTGCTGGCTGTTGTCAGTTGGTCAAAGTTTAATTTTTTTATACAGTATAGGGTTCCATATTGTTTTTTTTGTTAGAAAAGGTTGGGTTGGCAGTGTTTTTCAGTAAAATAATTATATAAGTTATATTTTGCAATTCCTGGTAGTTACTTGAAACTCAAATATGTCAACATGCATGAACATTCAATTCAAATCTCTTGTTGATTTCTGATATTATGATTACTGCCCTAATGTTGCACCTTGGTCCACCCTATACCACCTCGTCTGATATAATTCTCCAAGGGTCCTTGTAACCAGTGCATAGCCTTGGTTGTTAGAAATTAGACACAGCCTTTGGATTTACGCCAATCTGTAAATAATTCAGCACGCTGATACCTTGCAAGTTGTTGTAACGCACAGTCCTATGTGATCAGGTTTAATAATACCATTTTGGTTACTTCTTCCCTCATTATGATGTTATTGGCAGTAACTATTCCCTTTTCTTCAGCTTTACTTTACCTCTGGTAACCATTGTTTGGATTATGCTATTTGGTCAAAGGATTGTCTTGTTGTCTCTATGTACATTGAAGGAGCTGTTGATTGTAGTAAATTAAGAGAGATATGCTAGGATTTGTGAGACTAAAGGGGGACGAGTATAGAAAGAAGGAAGGCATGCAAACCTGCAGCCATGCGTGAGGCAACGTGGTTCCAGTTCGTAGATAGTTGTGAGGAAAACAGTTTGGTCCAATGGTATTAACATGTGGAAATATGGAACAAGTTACTAGCCGTACATATAGTCCCATACTTGATGATAGCCTCATTTTTTGACTGGTCAACTGCAGAGAGAGATAGTTAGGGAGGTAATTAGCGCTGGTTGCGTCTTCATGCATTAGTCCCCCCAGCAAGCTTATCAAAAGGAGTGAATTAAGTAGTAGTTTTAGGTCCTCTTGGGCTAGATAGTCTACAAATGCGTGCGATGTCCCCAGTAAGAATCTTGAAAGCTAGCTAGTCTTGGCATCTTAATGGTTGTAGTACTGCTTGTCCTTTGATCCCATGTGGGATCAACACTTCACTTTATTCCATGTACTGATTAATTCCTGTAAATTTACAGAGCAAATGAGATCATTAGCATTAATATCATCTGCATGCAGCTATTTCCTATTGTTGTGTGCTTTATGTTTTTTTGACAAGAGAACATTGCAGGTGACACTTGGTGGCTCCTTCTGCATTTTTCATCAAATTCTGAAAGTATTAATAAGTTCTCAGAGACGCCACCTGCTGTTCAACCAGTTGAAATAGAGTAAGATTTGTGAACTTCACTAATATATACTGACAATTTGACATTATATATATAGATATGAATCAGATAAGACTAAGCGATGTCCCTTTGGTTTTTTTAGATAATGAGACATGTCCTTTGATGTTGCAGGAGATTGTTATCGTGTGCCTTGGATAAGATTGTCTTGCGGGTGCAGAGGATAGTTAAATGTCCTTGTTGACTGATTCTATTGTGCTTAATTCCAATTATGCAGTGCCCAGCTGAGTTCTTTCACCATTGATGTTCTTTCCGATCTCAATGCATTTCACCGCTCCACCGTACATTCCCTTCAAGGTATGGGGATCACTGCTGTTGAATGTGTAAATGATTTTTTTATCATTACTGTTTGTGTTACACGTGTTTCTTCAGCCTACTGATATATTTAATTTCATATATCTAATGTTGCTATATGTCCGTCTGATTTTGTGCAGGTGATTCTTCAAGGTATCTACAGTTCTACACTATTCTGAACCCTGGCGGATTCCCCCGCGACAAAATTTGACTTCAAGTATGCACCATTATCTAATTATCTTGAAAGTTCTTTTACTGTTATTCACCTGGCATGGAAATTCGAAACGTTTTCATATAGATGGATACACATTTTCAAACACACTTATGTTGTACTCCCACCGTTTCATATTATAAGTCGTGTTGATTTTTTTTCTAGTCAAATTTTTTTTAGATTTGATTAAGTTTATAGAAAAAATTAACAATATCTACATAACCAATTTAGTTTCGCTAAATGTAATATTGAATATATTTTGATAATATATTTGTTTGGGTTGACAATGTTGCTATATTTTTCTATGAACTCGGTCAAATTTAAAGAAATTTAACTAAAAAAAAACATCAAAATGACTTATAATATGAAACAAATGGAGTAGCTGACAATGGAACTAGTTAAAAAAATGAGCTTGAATTAGAAACACTGGTGATACATGAGTTTCTCTGCTACAGGACTATGTCAGGGAAGCAAAAGAATAATCTTAAGGATGCATTGCATTGCATTCCTGCATGCATCAGCAGCCAAAACTTTTGATCAGTTCCATGTCAGTCCTAGGCCTACCACTCGTTTCAGCTAATGAAGCTAATAGAGCCAGTAAGTCCACCTACTCCATCCCAAACAAATAGTTGTAGAAGTGGGGAGCCGTGCTCGTGTTACTCGCCACCCATGTCCCGTTGCTACCGGTGGAGCCCCCGTAGAGTGCTGATCCAGAAGTCATAGCTGCTGCAGCAGCATAAGGAATGTTGTTACCGGAGTAGCTGTTGCTCTGCTTGTTGCTGCTGCCGCCGTTTTGCTGCCTCCCCATCGCTGCGCCGGCGGCTGTGCCCCATATGGCGCTGCTGCTGCTGCTGTTGCTGTTGCTGCCGCTGTGGCTGCTAGTCCCCATTGTGAAGTCCACGTTCACGCCGGAGGAGCAGCCGTAGGTGTCAAATGCAGAAGCAGGAAACTGCTGCTGCTGCTGCTGCTGCTGGTGGTGGTGGTAGTGCAGGGCAAGGAGGGACCAGTAGTCCTTCTCCGACGGTGGCATGGCAGGCGACGGCAGCGGCAGCGATGGGTCAGAGGGGAACTTAGAGGCGCGCGTGGCGGCTCCGCCGCCGACCGGCAGGTCGCTGTTGAGGATGCTGTCGACGTCGTAGCGGCTCATGTCGAAGTTGGTGACGGCGTTGAGCCCCCTGAACTTGATAGCGGCAATGTCGTACGCCTCGGCAGCCTCCTCCTGCGTGCCTGCGCGCGGTGCATGGGACATTTAGGAAAATTTGCCAACAACCATGCATCTCAATGGTCTTAGCGTTTGTTTATATGTATTTGAAAAGATCGAGGCTAGCTTACTGAAAGTGCCCAAGTACAGGTCCTTGTTTCCGGCCACCCTGCCGATCCTCGCTTGCCACCGGCCGTGCTGATGATGTCTGCACTCCAAACATTAGGCTCCCATTGTCACAGTTTTTTTTTACTAAGAAAAGAAAAAAAAAAGAAGAGCGGCTCTGAATGCTGCAACTTGATACTAGAGTTCAAAAACTAGAACTTCTAGAATTTTGTCCCCAAACTAGTCGCATGCCCGTGTGGTATAACGGAATTTATAGAACGTGGTTTAATTTGATATGGGAGATAAGGTTTTAAATTTTTTAATTTTTTTTTCTTGGCTAATCACGGATGCACCAGTTTGTTTCTGTAGCGGTTTTTTTTATACACAGGATAAGGGAAGAGAAGGAGGGCTAATGTTTTTTTACCGTAGTATAGGATGGGGAATATCTAGTGAAAATTAACAATCGAATAAGTGAAAATCCATGAAAGTCGTACCTACAAATTCTTTAAATTGATGAAAAAATTATTGGAGATAAATCTAGGCATAAAATTCGTTTGTACTAAATCTCAAATCTATACTCAACTTTTAGGTGAAAAGACAAATTTTAGGTTAAAACAGATCTAGTTATTATAGATTTTCATTTATTTGATGGTTTTCACCGAATATGTGACCCAGCAGAATATACTTACCTAGTAGTAGCTAGTGCTCCGAATGATGCAACTTGATACTACCATACTAAGTATTTCAGGGAGATATTTATTGTTGTAACTCAATCTTATACCTTGTTACTCCTCTGTAGATGGAAGCCCCTCTTGAGAAGCCGCTGCTCTTCCTGAAAAAAAAAAGAAAACAGAGTTGGAACACACACAATGAGGTCAACATGTGACAAGTGTGAGAACAGTAAAAGCAGTGCGCAGCCGTACGTGCACGCACGCGTACACGCGTATGGCAAGGTGTACGTGGAAAAGGGTTGTTTCTCCTAAGCATGTGACTCTGGATTACTGCTGCTTCTCCAAAATAAATAAATAAATAAACTTTCCGGATGACTACTGTTTCGTCTCACCTGCGCAGCGACGCGATGAACTCCTGCCGCGTCATGGACTTCATCTCCTCCAGCTCCGTCTCGTAGTTGGCAACCTACAGTCATCGATCGGTGCAGGTAAATTTATCACTAGGTAAGTACGAATGTACGAGTACACGTATCGTAGTACATCGTATAATACATGTATGAACGTTGACTGTATATAACTAGTACTCTACTATCTCCTCAGCGACCAGGATAAGCACATACATGCATGCCATATGTGTAAAGATCGAATAATGTATTAATTGATGGGGCTGGCAATAATAAGTTGACTGTTGCAACAAGTACTTACAGGGAAGTTCGTCGTGGTGGTTGGACCCCAGTACTTTAGGGCGGCGAGGTCGTAAGCTCTTGCGGCCTTCTCCTCCTTATCATAACCTCCTGAAAGTTTTGTTTAATCCCCCAACTTTTACAGTAAGTCTCAAGGTGAACGAATGGAAAAGAAACTAACTAATTAAGATATATAGATGTTGCAAATAATGACGACATACCTAAGTAGACTGATGGAGTATCATCACCGGCGGTCCGCCAACAGGCGAGAAATTAGGTTGGAGAAAAGCAGGTACAAATGTTAATTAGTGATCAACAATGTAACGTCCATATGCTAAAATTTGCAGATTAATTTGTTGGATATGGGTTATGACATGCATGCACAAACCTTGGCGGCCTTTGCGGCTTTGGCCTTCCCGGCGGCAGCTATTGTCCCACAGGTGCGCCTCGTACCTCCCCGTCCACCGGTGCCTGATGCATTTTCCCAATACCCAACATCCCTTATCAAAAACTTGTTGATTATATTATTTTTCAGCTCATTGTCATGCTTGCATGATTATTTTTAGCTATAAGTTAAAATGACATTTTAACCATGAACGACTACTAGTGTCGTTAGTGTACTGCTAGTAGTATAACTAACTACATGCATGCATGCACCTAGCTATTTGGGCGCTGTGAGAGCTGGGATCGAGTAGCTAGATTAGATAGATAGATCATCTCTATGGATCCATGTGTTATCGCAAAATATATATACCTAGTGACACCACGGTAGATGGACGTCCGTTGCCCGAACGTCTCGGCGGTCCTCCTCGCCGGATCGGCCAGCTCCGCCGCCGCGTCGGTCGCCATTGCGATGGTCACCCCGCCGGCGTTCTCAGGCGCTGGGTACCGGCGCAAGAACCCGGCGGCGATGCTACCAAGCTCGCCGCAGCTGAGCTGATCCTCCGGGGCAGCTGCCGGAGCGGCGGCGACGGCGCCGCCGCCTCCGCCTAGGCCGCCGAGGAAATCCTCCATCTTCGGAGCGCCCTCCGCTGGCCCCTCCTCTCCTACACCAGAAAACACAGAAAAATAATGATACTTAGTGATGATGAACACAGATGCATGTCCTACTAATCCACATGGCATTAGTTTAGCAAACATGCATGCACATGAAAGATTATGAATAGTGCATTATTTGAGATGCTCATATATTACCAAGTGGAGGTGCAGATGTGGTAGAGAGGGCCTCAAGGAGGCCATGGTGGTAGTTGTTAGAGAGGGAGAAGGAGAGCCAATGGTGAGGATAAGCCGAGCTCATGTCCATGTCCATGGCGATAGATATGATCGATGCGCCGATCTTGAAGAGCACTTGACCAGCGTTTGTTTGAGCTTATGAGAGGGAAGGATAACTATAAAGCTATTGATCGATGTAGACCAGTGTTGTGCTAAGGAGAGAATGAGAGAATACCCAAGTGTGTGTTATATATAGATTGGAATGAAGTTGAATGTGCGACATACACTGCTGAGTAACATGAGTGGCTGACTGCTAGCTACTCTCTCTCTCTCAGCTGTCCACAATTTGTGCATTTTGGAATTAATGTTACATGCAATTGCTGGGCTGTAACGAATACGTCCAAGAACTAGAGAGGAGAGAGGAGATAGAGGGAGAGCACAAAGGCCAAGATGAGTTTGATTAATTTAAAGAGAGTGATTTAGGGATAAGAGCAAAGTAGGGAAATACTTTAAAACCTAGCCTTGTTTTGCGAATCTAAAGAGGAGGAGGTGTGAGTAGTAATGGTCGACAACGTGGAGGCGTTTCATGGGGTCCTATGGGCGGTCTCCTTGACCAAAATGGAGCTAGGCCGCTGTTCCCTCGCATGCAGCCCTAGCTAGCTTGCTTTTTGTTTGCTCTTTACGCGAGTGGAGTTAGAGCACGTACAGTAGCAGATTATAAATAAGCTATAAATATATTTTAAGAAGATAAAAGATGATAGAGAAAAACAGCGGGCTACAAACTTGTAGCTAGCTGTAGCACAGACTATAAGATACATGTGTACATGATAGGTGAGATCAGACAATATAAAACTATTGTATAAATTAGCTATTAAATTAACTTTAAATAATTAAAGCCAACAGTTGGCTATACTGTTAAACTTGCTCTTAGTACTACCGTGGAGGAGCAGCAGCAGTCTGTATATTGGATTCCGCGCAGATGATCTGAATTTTGTGAAGTGTGAACACTCCCCACCATATTGCAAGTTGCAATCCTGAGTTCTGACGAATAGATAGCTGCCATAATCTGGGTACGTAGCTAGACTGACTCATGGACAGTAGTTCTACTGTCCAATACTTGGAGAAATGCAAAGTCTTCACAAAATGGACATTCTAATCAACAGCAGTTTTGGAGGGAAATTTTGATTAGTTTGTTACACACAAATATCATCACCTTAGGTTCATAGTATACTATTACCATTGGAAAACATGGTTGCACTTTAGTGTGTCACTCAAATTTTACATTTTTCCAGTTACTAAGCCTTTGTGCATTGTAACAGTCCATACCAATGGAATGGGCTTCAAGGTCCTTATTGGGGATGGGCTAGGAGTTTCTTTACTGGTTCTATCTTGCGGTGGGAGGAGACGGAAGGAGAACAACATTGTTTTTATATTAATAAAGATATACCATTCTGTTATGTGCTTTGAGAGAGTGATAGTGTTCATAGTGAACAGAGAATGGCTAACAGTGTGATAATGGTGTTATTTTGTTTAGCGGGTTTCATGAAAAAAGATAAACAAGACATACTTCTAATATTAGTGAATGGAATAGCATAAAATTGAATAATATGATCTCTTTAGTGGCATTAAAGTGTACCCATAACTTTCTATGGTATAAAGCTAAAGTCATAATTTTTCAGCGTGACCAAATCATTTTTGCCTTTTTCAAATACTTTTTCGCCAAGCCCTTTTTCAAATACTTCCATGATGTGAAAGAGGGAAACAACCGTCAGTTTTTGACTAGTTTTGGAAATGTTTGTGGGAAAGCAAGTTACGGGCTGCTCACAATTGTTTCAAACGGAACAGTTAAAGGTGAGTTGGGCTATATCTATAGTCAACATAGTATCAAACGGCAAAGGTTAATAAACATTTTTTCAGAAACACATTCTCCCCAAGTGTTTATTTGCACACCCATCGTTATTGGATATTGGCACATGTATGTCTGAGATTGATATGATGTGTGTGTGTGTGTGTGTGTATATATATATATCTTTATGATCTCCTGGGAAAATGATATGCATATCCTTGCATTCAAATAACTTAATTACATAGTGTAAAATCAAAGGTGTTTTTGATTATTATTCTGTGATGAACAATTGGGCATTGGAGATTATTGGTTTTGTTATTTGGAATCTTTTCACGAAGTGGTTTTGGAGATGATTGGATTTCACAGGTGACCGCAGGTTTATCATTTTATGTGACCGGTCAGACCGGGCAGGTGTTGCCGGTCAGACCGGCATGTAATGTGCGGTCGGACCGGCCAGCTCGCGGTCTGACCGGCCGACACTGTGTCGGTTTTGGTTTCGGGTTGTTTATTTGGATATCCGAGTTTATTTCATGATTATGGCTTCTAGATGGATACTATACGTATGTAATACTGTTGTTTGCTACTATGAGTCAAGTTGGAGATAGCTTGGTCTCGGAATATGATTTCTTTGTTTGTTCCATGTGTAGGTGACTCGATGTCTCGGGAGAGTATTTGCGGTGATGGACCGGGAGTCGGCTTGGGGATAAGGCGACGTCGTGGTGGTCAGAGATCATGCGGGATACTTAGGCTAGAGTTGATGCACGTGGTTGATGGAGATTTCATATGGCATACGATGGAGGTATTGTGTGCGTATGGGATGTGGAGTCGAATTTGGAAGGAGTCCAAATTTGGTACGATTGGTTATGTAAAGTTTCTTTCTTGTACTAGAGGGTTTCCTAAGGTGTTTTAGGACTCTTAGTATGAGTTTGGTTCGTGGCTTTAGGCTGCCTACCTCATGTATAAATAGAGGGGGAGCGTGAGACTCTCGGTATCGCTTTTGAGAGCAATTGAGTTGAGTTTTGAGTTAGAGTTCGAGTTTAGTCAAAATTTTTGTAAGGAGTGCTGTTGGTGCACTTTGTAAACACAGAGAGAATCAATAAAGTCGTCATCCACTTTAAGAGTTCTTCGATTTATGTTTACCGGGTTTCGGCGGTCTGACCGGCGATCTATCGGCGGTCAGACCGGCGGCAAGCGGCGGTCAGACTGACGGCATACGGGCGGTCAGACCGGCGGCAGCAGCAGGCGCGGCAGGCGACTTCGACGGTTCGATCGATCAATCTACATCGGTCAGACCGACGTTCATCAGGCGGTCAGACCGGCTCAACACCTTCGGTCAGACCGCGATCCATCGATTTCGAGGGTAACTTTTATTTCCGCTAAAAGTTTTCGGTTTTTGGGTATACCAACCATTCACCCCTCCTCTGGTTGGCTTAGTTCTTGTGATTCAATCCTACACTTAGAATGAGCAGTACTTCCTGATTGAATTAAGGATAAATGGTCGATGGCCAGCTGCCATTGAAGAGCGACTGTGTTTTGTGGGGGAACACGAAAAGGTAGCAAAAAAGATCATAAGCAATAATGCATGGCACATGTACGTTCTGATCGTATCAATCTCGGGTCATATATCGCTAGTTGGTCCATGATCTATGGAGTATATACTACTACCTCCTGAATTCTGATGCAAATGTAGATCTGCACATACTATCATGTAATGATGGTCGAGTCTGTCGATGTTACAGCAGCACAGTCCATCTCTTAGAGTCTATCAATTGAATTTCTTGACAGGAAACATTCAAGAGATGGTGACAAGCGCATCTGTATATGATTCTTGGCAGAGATAGAAGCATGTTCACGTGCTCTGGAAGAATGGAATTAGTCGGCCAGAAGCTGATTACTGCATCTACGACTTGACAAAGGTTTTAGAGGTATATATACGTCTTTTTCTCCCATACAGATAGTTATACATGTACATGTTATATATATGTTTTGTATGCACAGTGCTTGTCTAGTTGTATGGGATGCATAGCCAACTGTATGCGATAGAGAACTATTTATATCAGCTGCCTATTATTTAATTTTCTCTATCCATGCATCGATATTTGACATATATGATCCAAACAGCTCGATCCTGCACCATTTGTTTTTTCAGACGAAACTCTGTAATTTAAATACAACTAAGGCATGCATCTGCAAAATATACACAATATATCCTCCATAAACCAAAGTCATATATAGTTGACGCAATCTTCCTTTGTTTCGTCCTATAGACAAGGAGAATCCTAGCTTCATATGTCTGGCTAGCAGCAGCAACTACGGGCAATGCTGCCTGCCTGCCATTCAAGTAAGCATGCCTTTTTCACCTGATATATATGCATGCCCTGAAAGAAGAATTATCACGTCTAAGACATGTACTTTCTAAGCTTAATCAAATGAGATTTACTCAGTAGCTAGTTGTCCCCTCCTCACATAAACTACAATATCTATCAATGTCTCAATCCTGATCAGCTAGCAGATTAATACACGCCCATATGTATATTTAACTTATATATATCAACCAACCTAGATAATATTATCTTGCAGTTGTGCTAAAGGACGTTCTAGACTTGTCACTGTCCATATAGATGCTGTGGCTGCGTCTCATTCGGCCTCGGGGGTACGACACATGCTGGGTTTTAAGGACATGTAGAGGTCTGGACGCGATGTATACAAATCTGCCGGCTTGCCTGCTTAACTGTGTATGCATGTAGTAGTTTTTTTTTTTTGGGTGGGATTGGAGGATAACAAAAGCATGTAGTAGTAGAGAGGTAAGCTTAGCTGCATATGATCTGTATGGTGTAGATTTTCTGGTCCTGTTTAGTTGGTAAAAAATTTTAGCCTCGCATGTCACATCGAATATACGGATACACATTTGAAGTATTAAACGTAATTTAATAACATAACAAATTACAGATTCTGCCATGAAACATCGAGACGAATTTATTAAGCCTAATTAATCTGTCATTAGCAAATGTTTACTATAGCACCACATGTCAAATTATGGCACAATTAGACTTAAAAGATTCGTCTCGTAATTTCCTGGCGAACTGTGTAATTGGTTTTTTTCTATATTTAATACTTTATATATTTGTTCAAATATTTGATGTGATAACATGAACAATTATATTATAGGAAGGTATCGAATAAATGGGAGGTTTATTAGATTAGATTAAAATATTATCGGATAGTCTTCGTCTTCGCATGACTGCATGTGGACATTCAGGGCCATGCATGCATGTAGCTTGTAGGCGTACATGCACGCCATTATCTGGAGGTCGTGATAGACGTCTTGTCACACTGACATGTTAGCCAACAAGACAGTTTAGAGGAGAAACAGTGGGCTGGGGGATGACGTGATCTGAATTGCGAATGTCTAGTTTGTGATATCATGAGTTCAACCTGATACGTAGATGGTTTTTCAACGAAATCCCACCGGTATAAGCTTAAGCATGCACCGCACAACTCGTTAACGTAGTTCTTTGGTGCATGAATACATTAAATTGTTTTATTGGAAAAAGTACGAATTATCCCCCTGAACTATCGCAGTTAACAGAATTATCTCCTAAACGGCTAAACCCAAAAACCAGACATCACTCACCCTAAACTTTCAATACTGGACGAATTACCCTTCTCGACCCAATCTAGAGTGGTTTTGTCCTATGTGGCGTACGCGTGGTAATCTAGACAACATTTTCTCTTTTTTTAATGGTGGGCCCACTTATCATATATACTCTCTCATCTCCTCTTCCCCTCTTCCTCTCCCTCTCTCTCGGCGCGCACGACGGCGTGTGGCGGTGACGGTAGAGGGCGGCAACGTGGCGACGGGAGGGAGGGCAGTGCCGGCGGCGGTTTTGGCTTCGGCAGCCACGTGGCGGCGGGAGGGAGGGCGACGAGGCAGCAGGGGAACACGGGGCGGTTTGCAGTGGCAGCGGAGCTGGAGCTCGCGGGAAGGAAACAACAAGGGCTGGAGTCGGACCGCTAGCCACACACGCCTGCTCCCGCGTCGCCCTCCTCAACGGCGTCGTCGGTCGCTGTCGCCGCCGCCAAGTGTCTGCTCGTGCGCACGCGGCGCCGCTAGGCTTGGAGCGTGATGGCGTGTTCCGGGCATGGACGATGACGACGAGTAGAATGGTGACATGCGGTTACAGTGGGAGGAGAGGAAGGAGGCATTGCCGCCCCACCCGCGGCGGCCGCGTCATTTGTCGATGAGGACCAAGAGGTCGGAGAGCGCCTTCCGCCTCCGCCATCGGCTACCCTGGCGAGCTCCGCCTCCGCTGCCGGCTGCCCGCTCCACCTCCGCCTTAACCACCTGCTGTCGCCGCCAGCGCCCGCCTCCGCCTTAGCCACTCGCTGCCACCGCCAACGCCCGCCTCCGCCTTAGCTGCCTGCCCACTCCGCCTTTGTCTTAGCCACCCACGTCTGCCACCAGCCACCCACTCTACCTCCGTCTCAGCCGCCCTCGCCCGCCCGCCGCCATTCTCGGTGCTGCCGTGCTGGTGAGGGGAGGGAGAAGAGAGAGAGGGGGGAGAGATTGGGATAGAGATAGAGTTGAGAGAGATAGAGAGGGGTGGGGAACTGATAGGTGGGGCCCACCATTTTTTATTAAAAGAATTGCTGACTAGACTGCCATGTAGGACCAAAACCACCACGGATTGAATTGAGGCGGGGGGGGAGGGGGAGTTATTTGTTCGGTT